CTTCATAGCATCGACCTAAGCAAGGCCCTCGTCTAGACTAGTTTAGTGTTCGGAGACAGTTGAAATTCCCTCATGTCTTGCAGAAAGACTAGATTCCTAGACACGAATTCCCGAAGCAACTTCGCATTGCCCACAGTTCGAGGCAATCCCAAGTCGGCTTTGCACTACTAGGGCTCGCGAAGGCTGAGGTTCTTGTCCCACTACTATTACCACCACCACCACCACCACCACCACGACCACGACCACTACTACTACTACTACTACGACGACGACGACGACGACTACGACGACGACTACTACTACTACTGCTACTCCTACTCCTACTGCTACTGCTACTGCTACCACTACAACTACGACTGCTGCTGCTGTTGTTGCTGGAACGGCAACTACTGCTACTATGCTACTATGCTACTGTTGCTACCACTGCTACTACTGCTCCTGCGACGACTACGAATCTATGGACCACAAAAAATACGACTGCTACGACTGCTGCCGCTACTACTGCAACTCTTGCTGCTACTGCCAGTACTAGCTACGACTACCACTTAGCCACCACCTCAACCGCGACCACGACGACGCCTGCTCTGCTTACTTCAGCGACGATGACGACGATGACAACATCGTTTTGGGGTTGTATGGAGAATAGAGAATAGCAACTGACGCGCGGATTTGCTCAGCTGTGCATGCCATCATGGCGGAGTCGTTGACGAACAGTAAATCACAGAGCCCGTCTTGATGCCAGCATTCACACCTATTCCACAAGTGTATACCGGGCGACTTCTTCCGAGCAGCGCCGACCTTATCGGGCCACGCAGCTGGGCATTTTCCGACACGAAGTGCTGCAGGTCCTAAGTCCTAATGCGCCAATCGCGAGAGCTTTCTCCGGCCGAAATATGTAAGGTCTGGGGCAGATTGGGGTAAGCTCTGGACGCTCCGCAGCGCACATGTAATAAGTCTTGCTCCGCCTTCCTGCCCTGTTCTTAGGTCAGGGCAGCCGCTGTACCTGACCATAGGAATGCCACTCTTCGCTTGGGACTCCGTGACCGTCAGCTCGGGAAAATAGTCCTGCAACGCCACTTCGGCAAATCACGCTCTGGTTTTGCCAACGGAACACCGGCAAGAGGCATGAATGCTCAACACCGAGGTCGTGCTAGGCGAGAGAGCAGAGCATAACTCACGAAGCGTCCTCGGGCCAGGGCGACTCCATCTCGAACGGAGCGCCTTGCGGGGGAATGCAAGGCTGTCAAGTTCGCTCTTGCGATGGACAGGGACCCAAGGTTGCACCTGGCATGGTACCATTCGACTCATTGCCTGCGCGGGGGCTGCAGGCAGCTGCAACCGCAGAACGCTCTTGCTTCGCTGTGACGGTGCTCTGCACTTGTCACTTCTCCACATGCAAAGCTGCAGACTCCGCGGATCTCTGTGGCTTTCGGATCTTGGCGACCAGGACTCTGCACTCGCCTCGCACGCCGGAGAGGAGACGCCCCCGTAGCGCCTCGTGACAGTGCCGTGCTCAATGGAAAAAATTCCCGCAAAGGCCCGTAAGCTTGTCTTGTTCCTTGCCTAGCCTGTGGATTCTTTTACAACAATGCCTGGCCATCCAGCATCCCATACAACGCAGTGCTGCTCGGTGGCAATAGTGTGGATGCGGTGGCGGGTGAAATCAAGCCAGCTACAGGAGGTACACCCAGCTGCGGCAAGGGCCGCAAGAATCACCAAGATGCCCAAAACACACGGGCCGACGCACGGCCTCGGAGGAGCCCACTGCGACATAAACAGAATGGCAGAGACATGCGCGATTTCCGCAGTGCAGTATTGTTAACCTCTGCGAAGGCCCGCCGGACTTGGGGTTCAGCGTCGTGCTGAAAGATGCTGAAAGCGGGACGGGCTTGGCAATCTGCCACGTCTTCGAGCCCATGCAGGTCACTACACACTCACTACACACTCTAATTTGGGAGGTCAAGCGGCTTGTGGCACATCATCGGGCACGCGGCAGTCTTGCCGCTCTTCACTTGAGCCCAAAGTGTCTGCACAACACCAAACGTTCGTGGTCTTAACTGCACTAGCTTCACTGCACCAAACTGGGTGTTGAACCGTCACTTCCGATATCTTCCGATGGAACAATGTCCTCGGCTGGCACCTTCTCGTCGGCATCTGCATCGTAGAGGCCTGGCAATCCCATCACTTCGTTGGCCGACGCTGAGACATGACAAGATCCAAAAAATGCGAGAAAAAAGCACTGAGGTTTTATGTAGCTTCCTTGATCAACGGTCGGCTCCAAGCTCCGCATTTTCACTACGAGTGGCACAGCCGCCGGAACCCAAGCACAGCACCCTAGCGAAGATCTTTGAGGCTCTGTGCCTCGGCATGACAATCACTGCAGTAATGCAGGACACTCACTCGCCAATCTCAAGGGCACTGAAAGAAACAGGAAGGCCAGACGTCCGAAGGAGGTGTACCTGGCGGTGCGCACTGACCATAGCGGTTCAAGCATGTCCTTGCTTCTCGCCACCGCTGGACAGAACGGGCAGTGAGACGTTAGCGATGGCGTTAGAGCGAAGCTGTCTAGACATGCGTAGACATCAACGTCGCCGCAAGGAATTGAAACTACACTGCACCTGGGCCCCAACGACCAAGGACCGGACGTCGAGGCAGAACTGCCAGGAAAAGTGGCCGTGACCTTGCACTTGCCATCCTTAGCAGCAACCGATAGCCAGTCACCACATAGGCGAGCCGGTTGCGATGTGCCCTCAATCTGGCTTATAATGTTTCGAGCGACTCAGCGAGTTAGTGACCCTTACGAAGCTTGTCACCGACGACATCCAGGCCCAGCCCTTAGACGTGAGATTGAGGCCTGTCTTTGGCTTTAGGCTTTAGGTTCTGCAACGCAAACTCTGTAACCGCAATCCTGAAACTAGTTTCCCGCCAATCCACGTCTCGCCTGACGTTGCAGCTTTCTCTAGAAAAGCGGTTGCACCACGTAAATTCTTGTTACGCTGACACCTTGCAGCGCGAATCTGCTCCCGCTGCCAAAAGGACGCGGGGAAGCCATCGTAAACAAAAACTGTGCTGCACATGATTATACCCAAATTTTCAACTTTGCAATTACTGGCCGTTTTTCAAGACTGTGCTCCAAATCCTCATGAAATCGGCCTCAAATGACCAGATGACTGGGCTGCAGGCTGTGTTGTCACAATATCCAGATAGACATTGGCACTTTCCCACCTTCGGGAGGGGCCACAATTCGTCACCTCGGAAAAGCCACTGCTGTCGGATCACATTGGTCTGCTTCCAGCCGAACTTCACAGGGTCACGAAGGCTTCAGCCATTCGCATCCAGCATGCCAGAACTTGGAACATGTGCAAAGGCATGCGTACAAGAACCGTCGCTAGCAGCTAGCGCATTCTAGCACCATGCGCTGGCCCCGACCTTGGAGAGTCGACCAAAGGTTGGCGGCAGTAAAAGGGGGTTACAGAAAGGACCCAAAGGACCCAAAGCGCCTCAAGCCTTAACCGCCTTAACAGGCACTATGCTGAGACGAAGATAAGAAAGCCCCGGCACCGCAGGGCGGCAGGCTTTCGGGAAAAGGCATGAAGCTGTTGGGTCTACCATTCTGGCTTCAACATTGGGCACAAGCACAGGCAAAGAAAACGCAGAATACTGCGATGAAATTCATTCGTCTACCTGTGAAGCACACTGGCAGAAGGAATTCGGGGACCTGCTGTTCGATCGTCGTAAGGCTGTGTTCGCTGTGCAAGCTTTTTTTGTTGCAAATGGCCCTTGCGTTTGAGCTGCGGCTGTGCTCTTGCAATTCTCGGGATTCTCTGATGGCGCGTTGCTGCCGGCAGTTTTCAACTGAAGCTTGAAATCACATGGTCTATGATACAGAGGCGCCGGCGCGGCAAGCAAATTTGTATTTGAGCTGCACAAGTGGCGTTTGCTTGTGTCGAGATTTCCCCAAGATTGCTGATCAACTGGGCCTCATCGTCATACGTGTTTTATGCTCGTCTCGTTTTTGCTGCCCTGCTCTCGCTTGCATGCCACGTTGCAAGTGCTTTTAGAGTCATGTCATTTCTTCGGCTTACTCGTGCTGAGCTCACCTCTACATCTAGTGGCATTCAGAGAGCCGTCATTGGTGCTGGCGCAACGATTAGAGAATGGGACGAGAAACTTACGTGGGGCCTCACCGATGCCATATCAAGGTATCATCCAGTTGATCACTGGAGAATGCATTCTGTGAATGATACTCTGGACAAAGCTTTGTCATCATTGCAAAGTGTCTCCACTACTACGGTGGGAATCACTATGCAATTTGCCTGTGCTTGTGCCAATACGACGGGCAGCCGATCTTCAAATGCAATGTGCATGTCGGCATGTGCTATGGTTTGGTAAAGGTCTGGTTCGTCGCTGTTAATGCAATGACGTGGCAAAAACAATCTCTTGCAAGTGAATGTGGGAGGCCTCCACCGTGATAACCAAAGCTGGAATCATGTGATGCTTTGTGTGGTTTCTATTTCCCGTGCTGGCCCCGGAGCCCTGTTAGCGTTTCAGCGATGGTGGTAGCTGAAAACGCCCTTATCGCTCCTGGGCCATCGAGCACAAAAAAGGAAGGTTGGCAAGAAGCTCGTTTTGCACTAGCCTTGGATGGATCCCAGTTGATGTCAGTTGATGTTGATTGCCTTGATAGTAGCCGGCCAACACCTTCGTCATTCCTTTGCTGCTCCGTGCCAGGTGCGCAGCTGGGAAAGAAAAGACCGTCCTTTCCTGTTTATGCCCCGACTACTCTGTCGCCTTAGTCCCGATGCGGTTCGCCAAAGCTTTATTCTCTCTTTCGGAGGACAGATTGGCCATGAGCCAAGCGTTGTGGGATTCAGTTTCAGGTGTGTGGCCTGGTGTGGGAGTCCACGAGGCGCGCCCAACGTAGCAAACATTGCACCCTATCCCTTTTAGGGTTTTGACTGTGGGGTCTAGGGGCTTAGGAATCGCTGGGGCGCAGGGCGTCCGCAGCTTACAATGTGCGAAGCAGCTACGGTGGCGGATCGGATATCCAGCCTGGTCAGCTGGACGTACCTGCAAGACAAGGACAGGATGGGCCCCTTGTGGCATCTAGATCTGTCGATCTCCGCGTGGCATCCAGATTCTTTGCATTTGCAGCCATGTCCTTATAGTAGCCCAAACAGCATTGACCAAATCCAGCTTTTGGTTCGCTCTCATCGGGGTGTGTTTGTGTGGTTGGGAAACATCGACAACCCACTGTATATGTGAGAAGATTTCAATAAAGGCGCACCAAGGGGCACAGGCCTACATGTGCCGACGAAGCCTATTCTAAGACGGGAAGGGAGATCTGATCAACCACCTGTGCCTGCATGTACAGCTGATTCGATTCAAGACCAGCCAAAAGCATCGCTCACTTCGAGCGGATGTGTTTCCGTCATTGGCTTCGTGCGTATGCTTGTTTTCTGCCTGGTTGTGCTGGAGGCGACGGCAGACGGCTGGCTCGCGATCACTGAGGACAAAAGCCATCCAAATAAGCCCGACTGGGGATGGTACTTCGCTCTCATTGTTTGATGCGTGTGCAGTCACGGGCACTTGCGCAGGCGTCAACCCAAGAGGTCTGCTTGAGAAGTACACTTTGCCAGCTGAGATCAGGACCCGAGCACTGCGTGTCACCTCGTTGTTTCCCTGGCAACAGGATCCCACTTCCAAAACTTAGATGGGATCGGTGAAGGGGCACACAATGCAAGCTGCGAGCCAGGGCGGCAGCAGCCCATCCCTGGAAAAGCTCCACATGTGGAGTCCTTGCGGATCACAGTCCCGCGGTCAGAAGGATAGGGATCAGGATGGCTCAGCATAGTATAGACACTCCGGCAGTCAAGCGATCGAAACCTCGAAGTGGGAACAGCCCTGCCGCCCTGCCTTGCAACAGGAGCTGGGATTGACCTGCGCGCTCTGGAGTCCCAATCGCTTTTGCGTCTCTGGAGATCGATAGTCCAAGCTTGGGGGAGAGGTACTCTGCACCCAAGCCTGTCAGTGTCATACGATGTTTACGCGGCTTGTTCGTTAGTTTAGTCGATGTGTGGACGAAATTTATGGCTGTCACCAAGCCCATGCAAGTCCTGCAAAAGGACGGAACAAGTGCGGCCTCGGCTTGAGAAGTGTAAGGCATGCACGAGGCCCCCATGTCGAAACGGAAGCCCGAGAACACGTCGCCGGGCAATTTCAGCTTTTAAGGCCTCACCTTGTCCTTCAGCCGCATCGTCTAGAGTTTACACGGGGATGGTGCTCGTGCGACGAGACTCAAGCAAGGCCATCAAACTCCAAAAAATCTCAACAGAAGCCACCTCGCAGCCATCTACCTTCTTCTTGGTTGAGGATGTAGTGGCGGCGGGCATATTGTCACCTTAGAAAGGCTGTGTGCCGGATGTCTAGAGGGATTTGGGGATGTCCACTGCCCTGCAACAACTGAAAGCACACAGCTGAACGAAAGTGGTGGGGAGTGCAACTGCGGCGAGAAGCGACACGTGTATGATTGATGTACCTTTCTTCGTGTGTGAACGACGCCGTCTGAGGTAGCGACAAAGCACCGGCAACTTGACTGACTGGCATAGAGCATCCTCGGCGCACCCCACTTGAGGCATCCCTCCGATGTCCCATGCACATGCTGCGATGCTGCACATCAACTCATGCCTTCCGAGGGAGATCTGCATTCTCCACCAAAACTCCAATATACGATGCTGTCTATGAAGTTGCCATGAAATGTGTCAGGTGTGAGAGAACCCAGTTTCATGCTCCCTTTCCAAAGCACCGATGTGGCATAAGGGTTGGGAGTCTGGGGTTAGAGTTCGGCGAAGGGGCTCAGTGACAGCCCAAGCCCGGCGTCATGATCTGAACATGCACCCTGGAGCCCTCCCTGCTCGTGCTGCCTCTTGAACGCAGGGAGAAAGTAGAGACAAAAAAACGAAGACATCGGAGCAGCCCTACAAGACCCCGGCCACGGGGCCGACGTGGTCATCCTTGTGATTCTGCTCCTGCCCTATCGCGACTCCGAGGGCCAGAGCGGCCAGGAGCGCAGCAATCATGGTCCTTGCACAACGCCTACCCTGCTCTTTGGTGCAAGCCCAATGCTAAAACAACATGTTGGTGATAGCATGCCCAATCCGCCATGCGCCTCAGGATTCCAGCGCCCGGGCCCTCGATGCTCGAGCCAAAAAGCGGAGCTGCAGATGGGACGACTGCGTTGGAGACGGACAAGGGCCACACTGGGTCACTGGGGTTTGCCTCCGTTTCAGCGTCTACTTCCGGCACCTGTCTCGAGTGCGATATGGCGAAGTGTCAGTGGGAAGCCCGAGAAGCTGAAACCTCACTAAAAGCACAGCTGTGTCCTAGAGCAAAGCAAGATCCAACAGCACAGAAAAGAAGGGATTAAAGAGGCCTCGCGTAGAGTCAAGAGCCACAACTGCAGCATATTTTGAACCCGCCCTGCGACCCGAAACCTGTGCTTGCAAACGGTGGCGCCTTCCTGCAACGCTGCCCTGGGAGGTCTGAACGGTTTCGGACTTTGCGCTGGGTCCACTTGTCGGGAAGTCTGCGTGACAGTCAACATTGCTTGACGACATGGAAGGATGCGGGGCCCCCCAGCTCCGGCAGTGGCGGCAGCGATGCATCATCGGCGTGGCCTTTAAAACTAAGCCCGGAGAGAGGTTACCGACAGCCGAAGAGCGAGAGAGGGAGAGATTCAACAAAGAAGGCAAGATGAACACAGCGCTGCAAAAGGAAAAAATAACGAGGGTAAGCTAGCAGTCAAAATGCACGGACACAGAAATTGCAAGCACTACTATGGCTACTATGGGAATGAAGAACCCTCAGTTGTACATGAAACGATGCCGGAGAGAGGGAGACAGGAAAGCAAGATGTCTGCTTGGTGCGCATGTGTGCAAAGGTGGATAAATCTGGTGCATGTACATTCATGATACTACCATGTTTGTTGCGAGTGTGGGAAAGTTGGCGTGAGCTTGCGTTGTGTCACACGCTCATGCACAATCAGAAGGCATCACCAAATGGTTCTGACGAGGCTCCACGGCAAGTCGGTCACCCGTGACTTTACATGGGCTGCCGAATTTCTGTGGGATTTGTTTTTGCGCCTGTGGGTGTTTTTTGTTGGGGTTCGTCGAGCACCTGCGCAGTGACCTTGCGGAAATGCCCTGGAACGCCAGTATTCGGGGGCACAGCATGTTGCCATTCTACTCCTATA